GGTGATTCGGCAATGCCTGAAGACATTTTTGCTTGTCACAACTGGGTGGGTGCTACTGGCATCTAGTGAGTGGAGGCCAGGGATGCTGCTACTGCACAGAGAAATGCCTCACAACAAAGAATTATCTGGCACAAAATGTCAATACAATTGTATCTTAGAGATAGTGCAGATTTGGTTCCAGACCAATGCAGTAAACAAATGTGGCAACAAAGCACAGCACATGAATTTTTTGGTTGCCCACTAGATATAAAAGTTATGCAAATACTATGCCGGACTCCCTTACACAAGCCTTGGAGGCATAGTGGGCTATGTGTTGGGTTGCTGCAAGGTCAGCAGTTCGAAACTACCAGACCACTCCTCAGGAAAAAGAAGGGGGCTTTCTACTTCCTTAGAGACTTACAGTCTCAGAAACCAACAGGAGGAGTTCAAATCAACCCTATAGGGTCGCTATGCATCAGAATTGACAGAATAGCAGTGAATTTGATTTGCTGGCTCAGTAGGTTAAGCGTTGTGATGCAAACCCACCAGCCAATTTGATAAGACTATCTGTTCCTATAAAGATTTATAGTCTTGCTAAAAAAAAAAAGATTTATAGTCTTGGGAAACCATAAGGGGTAGCGTTCTACTCTGTCCTACATGGTCACTAGGAATCAGAATAGTCTATGGCAGTGAGTGGGGAGTCTATTAAACATTATGAAAAAGCCTGAATATTTTAAGAATTACCAAAATGCGAGAAGATGCACGAAGTGAGCACATGCTGTTGGAAAAATGGCTCCAATATTTACATGAAGCAGGATTGCCACCACCTTTCGATTTGTTTTTTTGCTTTTTAAAAAAAATCAGTATCTGTGAAGTTTAATAAAACTAGGTAAGCCTGTCATGTTGTGGTTGAGACTATACTACTTTTATCATTTTAAAAGGAAAATGCCACATATATATACATGAGAAGGGCTTTAAAAAGTTCATGGAAAAATGGAATGGAAAGATAATGGCTACTATACTTTGTACAGTATATAAGTACATTCCTATGATAGAAAAATGAAAAATTATATGCCTGCGCAAACTTCTGTCTCTGGAGATTTCCTGCTCTTTTGACTTGCTTTTTTTAAAACTGTAATTCTAAAATTAACTTTGAAAATTGCTTCTATAGAATTTTCAACCTGATCTTTCTTCTAAACAACAGGCACATTCCGATAAGATCCAATGCCAATTCTGAATCTTCTATCCAAGGTCTTAGAAAGCTAAAGAACTTGTTTAGTATGCCTGGAGAAATACAAAACAATTATTTAAACTCCAATGTTTCCTTAAACTAGCATTATTCTAATATAAAAAATATTTATAAAAAGATTCAAGTTCGTTCCTCCAACTAAAAGGTCTTTTAACTTGGCCAGCATGGAAAAAACAGCTTGTTTTTTTTTCTCAGCTCTGATAATGAACAGAAAAGAGGTCCTGAAGAGTATCTATGTCTCTGGGCACCAAAAGTCTAAAATTTTAACTAATTCCACACCGAGTGCAGTAGGCCTCCACATTCCTTACTCTCTCCTCACCTACTCCTGGCCCCACTGGGGAAACAAAGCAAACTTCACACCAACTTCCCAAACCGCACACAAACTCATTATCTCTCTGAGGTCTAGGTGCTTGACTCAAAAATGTTTTCTAAAAATGAAAGTGAATATTTTAGTGGTATTCATTAAATGCCAGTTTTTTTTGTTTGTTTGGGTTTTGTTGTTTGAGGAATATGTATCTCTTTACACTGGAACTTCCAAGGCAAAAACATAAGCAAAAAGATAGCTCTCTTTGCCAGAAAGAACACAGAAAAGGCAAGGAATTTACTTATGCAAAATAGGCCATTTCACTCACCACGGCATAACCATAATTTAACACACACACTGCATAGCACAGACTAGGCACCCCATGAATTTCTTCTCTGTGTGATGTGGGAGATAAGGAACATCACATTTTCCTTTTCCTACAGGTCAAGAAAGAATCTGTATCCACATCATCTGTATACACATATACCAGACTAAAGTCCATCGGAACACTAGAAACTTCTACTCCCCAAATGGTCTATTTAGACACACTAAACATCTTTGTTAAGTTTCTTAAGCAAAGAAAGCACATAACAAGAGAATAAAAGTTCTATCTACCATCAACCACAACCAAATGGGTATAAATCAGAAAAAAAAAAAAAACTCACTGCCATCCAGTTGATTCTGACTCGTAGTGACCCTGTAGGACAGAGTAGAACTGTCCCGTAAGGTTTCCAAGGTTGTCAACTTCAGGAAAGCAGACTGCCACATGTTTCTCCCACAGGGTAGTGGCTAGCTGGTGGGCGCCAACCACTAACCTTTCACTAAACCATTCACCATGGTACCACCAGGGTTCTGTCAGGAACCACAAATAGATGACATCTACAATAAACTTCAAACTTGACATAGTTATATAATAAAAACACTTCATATTTCATGGCACACACACATAAGTGCATGTGTGTTTTCCTGTGAACAAGCCCCAAAGAAATGATTAGGCTTCAAAGGCTCACTTGCCAGCTATAACACAGGAGCCCAGAGTTAGAGTTAGGACTTGGGAGGCTCACTAGCAATCTACCTCTGACGAAATTTCAGAATACTACTCATGTCACAGTAAATAAGCCATCTTTCATCTCACCCATGGCAATTATGTAAAATGGCCCAGCAAGTCAAGGGCACTTGCAATCACATTTAGACCAAAGCAGATCTTTTCAGCCTCCTGCATATATTTCAAAGATAAATAAATCTTTAGAGTCTAAAGATACCACCCCACTTCACTACATTTCCTAACTAAAAAGGACGTGTTCTTTTTTTTTTTAGGACATGTGTTCTGGGTTCTTCTCTCATCGGTTTTCATTGAAAGGTTAAAAGAAGCCATACGCAAGCTCAGAGTGGAAGTGCTTCAGGCTCTCCCCTATTACTCCCAAGTCTGTATCCCAACTTGGCTTGGAAGTTATTTGCCTTAGAATAAAATTCAGAGATGTGGACATTCGACTTACAGTTCACACCTGTTTTTTCCAAAGCGAGATGTTGGGGCCAAGAACCCCACGTTTCTAACCTGGGATGGTAAAACAGTGCACTAACTGTTCTCTGCAACCCACAAATGGAGGCTCTCCTTATTCCTGTCAAATCCATGCGCCAGGATAAGAATGCTCACAGAGACTTTCCTGTACTTTAACACCAAGACTGGATTTTGAAACGACTGGTCACAAGGGATGAACCAGGCATCTTAGAACCAAAATAGGACGAAATGCTGGCAACACTCAGAACAATAGTACTAATCGAGCCATAGCCAAGAAGGGGTAAAGTACATTGGGGGAAAGATCTCCTTTTCCCCTAGAGCCCAAAAGATGAGGCCTGCCATTGTGGGTTGTTAAGATCTAAAAAGGCCGGTGTACACGTGAAGAACTAAAAGAAATAAGCACCTGATAACCAATTTCCCTCACTGGACAAGATACGGTGCCTCCACCTGCTCCACACCTTAAAAAACAAACACACACAAAAAACTTCAGGAGTTCAAGTTTCGGAATCCTCTCCAGCTCGTCTGAAGCTCGGAGATGCAGTGGCACTTTCTAACTTCACAAAAGATCCTGTCTAACTCCACAAAAGGTCCCTGGAGCAAGAGTCACGTGATTTTCTAGGGTAAAAGCTAACTTAGCACTCACCTGGCTTAAACCAAGAACCCTCCTTAATATTCAAAAAAAGACAAGTGAGGAATATTTAAAGAAGGCGGCAAGTCAATGCCCAAGCCCTCAACTTGGGGGAAAGGCGTGTGGTGGGACTGCAGTGAGCTCTCCCTCCCTCCCTCCCTCTCTTTCTCGGTCCCCTTCTCTTATTCTT